CCACTTTGTCGCGAGAACTGCCTCCACTAAATTTGGTGTAAACTCCTGTAGAGGGGTTATTTGGTGCCCTTATTACAACGACCCTCGATTTTGGCATCAGCGTTCTTTGGCGCAATTTTCTCCTCTGCTATGCTCTCTCACTTGTAACGCTCAAGGCTAACTTCAGAGGGAGCGGATTCTTGGATGGTCAACAAGTTGCAGGTGAGTGCTTGCTCACCTGGGAGTCTTCCTCAGGTTTAGCCCTGATCACGATCTAATTGGTGAGAGGGCGCAGAAGAGCAGAAAATAGGCGCCAAATGGAATGTCGTATTCCACCAAATTACCCTTCCGATAAATGTTTCAACACAAAATAATTTTGAGATTTCGGGCTTTAATAATTGATTAATGAAGTAGTTCTACTGGATGTTTATCCATTCGTTTGACAAGTTGGCAGAAGGGTTCTTTAATCTTAACTTCCTCCATTGCAGTCATCGGAGTGTTCGAAGGAGTTGCGTGATCTACCGGAAAAGGACTACCATCAGCTTCTGGCTTCAGTGGCTGGATTACCAAAAAAGATTTTGGCATCGGTTTGTGTTTATTCTCTCAGTTAGTTTGATTCTCATGAACTCTTCTGGCATTTCTGGCGCGTGGAAGCAATGTCAAGCTTATTCAGCTTTCATTTTTACCAACAGTTTCAAGCTTAAAATCCTGCAGCTTGGAATCCATTGTGCAACCTGAGAACACCCATTTGAGATTGAAATAGACTTAAATTCACAACCGTAGATCGAATTGTTGAGGGAACAGCGGTTGATAATGATGGCGAGAAAAGGTCGTGTCTGGACGTGTTTTCGATCTACCTGTCGGCTATCTTACCTGCTACGTTGTAATCCACGTTGCATGTTAGGGGTGCGAGGTATCCGCAAGTTCACGTTAGCCGCCATCATATTTTGTAAGGCCCTAGCGCTATTGTCGCGCACTTTCAAGCCGCGGTACAGCTGTGATAGTCACGAGCTACTCTGTCCTACGCACAGAATAGATTGTTCAACGCGACCTCATTGTTGTTTTTACAAAACAGTATGAAGTCTCACAAGGGAGAAATTCTAGGTTGAAGTGACCATTTGTAATGGAAGTGTGTCGCTAGGTGTATTTTGGATTCTGTTATAGAATATTCTTGCAAGCCTGCTAAACGACTGTTTGGACGTAGTTATGAGGGCAGTGGTAATGTTCTTGGCTCATGGGCGCGACGTCGTGGAATCGATGGTTCGACATTACGATACAATCGTTACTTTTTTAGCAACACAAAAACGTTTTATCTTCATCTAGTCGCTAATCATTATCTATACAGTTGATATCTCGAAGTCAGATTAGGCGTGGCTATGGATTTGACGTATCCGTTGCCGCACTTGATGGAAGCCATGTAGATCGGATGTTTCTAACACACACTGTTGGATTTCAGCAATGCATGTTGGAATCATTATCCGCGCAACTTCCATCATGTGCGGTGGCGGCCACGTGACACGCCTAATCTGACTTCGAGATGTAGAGTATATTTGCCTTGTAACTAGTTGACGAGGACACTCTTAGGCTGGATGTCAGAGTCCGCGATCCTTTGCGCGATTTTCGCGATTTGCGCGATTTTCGCGATTTTCGCGAAACCTGCGATGGATCACAGGAGTTGGAAGTGCCCGATGAATACTGCGAGGTGTTGTTTAATCCTGCTGCGAATTCTGCTTGGCAGTAAAGATTGGAAGACGAATGTTTGTGGTTCTACTTGTTTCATGTTCAATGTCTATTAGTTCATTGAAATGCTCTTGAATCGTTCCTTTTTTTCAGGAATCAAACCAAACCAATCACAAAAATTGCAAGTGCCCCATTTGAACAATTGAAACACTGGATATGAAACAAGTGGAATCATGAGCAGTCTCCATTAAACCATAACCATCAAGCAGAAGTGACGGCGGGATTGGAGAACACCTTGCAGTATGGATGGGGCACTTGTAATTTCCGTGACCCGTCGCGCAAATCGCGCAAAATCGCGAAAATCGCGCAAATCGCGAAGAAGGATCGCGGACTCTACACCCAGCCTTAACACGTCGCAACGCTGTTGCGTATGGTGCTCGTATGCCCACCGCCTTCTTGCATTTCTCGACCACAATAGGACGATTCCTCGTCTTTCATAGTCGCTAAAGCATAAAGGATTAACGACAATTTAACGCAGATGCGTCTTTGAGGCATATGTTTTAATGGGAGCAAAATATTTTTGACATGGCTGCAGCGAGTATTGACCATTTTTTTTATTAAATTTGTATGTCCATTTTGGAGTAGTATCATTGCACCATGAGCGTTGAACTGTGTTGTTCCTTTTCAATTAGGAGGACTTTCAATTCTTCATACAATTAATGCGAACAGAAACAGAAAACCTCTAGACTGTGTGATGGGGAGCCGTTCGACCACGATAAACCACCTTTGTTACGCTCAAGCTGGTCCATAGCTTCATCTCCACTTGCGCCTTTTATTTGGTCTTCGTCCAATTTATGATTTTCAAAGCTATGGATAAGATAATACGTATACGAACCATTTGTGGTATATTTTGGATAAGAACCTCGCGTGTAATTCACATTTTACTACAGTGCCCATATCCGCGTCCGTTTTTTTTGCTTCCAGTCATCCATCCTGGAGTTTTTTTTTGCTACCAAAGCAGAGCACACTGCCCGCCCAAAATGTGAAACTAGCTCAATACTACCTCCACCCCACCCCGATATTACTCAGTTTATCTTTACCAGATTAGTCCCCCGTCAACCGCCGGGACCTTCCTTTCCTGCGCAAGCTTTCTATCCTCCGCTATGGTCCCTTCCTCCTGTGACACCAACACCTCCTGGAAGTGACGCGTATGCAACACAATGGTGTTTCATACAGTAGAAGGGACACAATCATGATATGACGGTAGATTTTTCGCTTCCCTTCCTCATCCTCCCTTTTCGTATAACTTCTGCCCCCCTTCCTCTCTCCACTGCCCTCCAGCTGCCACTGCAGCACCATGTGGAATGAACGGAAGTGTGCTAAGCAGGTGTTTATATAGCCCTAAGAGTGTTATCACAACTATCCTGCTACAAAACATTGATATCTCAAATCCTGTAAGCTACCCGATTTGTTAGCGGTTTGTTTATCCCATGAGCTTCCTTCTCACTCACTTCATTTTGCGGACGGACACATACACACATACATACACACACACACACACACACTCACACACACACATACAGATACACAAACCGACACACAAAGTTAGCGCTTTATAATAATAGAAGGATAGGCCGATTCACGCGGTAATGAGCTCTTATTCTTATCTTCGGTACTAGTGGAGCACAACGCAGTCCTCCGACCTCCAGGCCAGTTTTCGTCGAAAAAATAGCCGTGTGGGACAGGGTGAGTCTGTGATATAAGGACGCTGCTTCTCACACTTGCACAGAAGTAAAATTCTGCACTGTCATCAGCGGGTTAAGGTCCCAGTAGAGGACGCGCTGTTCTAGAATTTAGAGCACCTTTTAACGCCATGGTTTTCTCACAGCTATTGGAAAACACTCAGTGCTGTAGCATTGTTAAGGATTTTGGCTTCGCATAATCTTTGAAAAAAACTCGAAGGAATTCCCCCGGTCCTCATTTCTTTTCGCCACTTCTTATTCCTAGCGAGGCAGTGAAGATACTTTGCTTCCCATACTGTTCTTTGCGTTAGGACATTAAAGGCAGTGTCACCCGCTATGAGCAACCCTTTCTTGGCCATCAGGAGCGGTGTTGCTTACTCCAGATCGCACTGCAAACATAACATTTTTTAGAAGGTAGAGTATGATAGGAGGTATTCATGAAATGCAAGCAGTTCGAACGATTTATGATGGAGCGAAACTATTAATATGTCAAAGAGAGCGGTCGAAACACATATCGCAGTTGCACGTATAGCGACACAGTAAACGGGGCCTCAAATCGCGTTAAGAGTATCTAAAAGCGCACGTGACATGTACTTCTTCGCATGAGTTATTAAATGCACTATTGAGTTTGCATGAAGGCGTACCCATCGCGCGGTTCATGGTATGCGCACGTCCACTTGCACTGTAGTTCCGGTCGCCGCCTCCGTTTTTCTCGTCGCTATGTTGAATCTTACTGCGTACCTGAAAAAAAAACGCATGCAGAAAAATTTTGCACGTTTTGATACCTCGCATCAGCTGACTAGTTAAGAACTTGCAACAGCTTTGCATCACCATAATGATTATCATCGCTTCCGACTTTTTGGATTCCCTTGGTCAACAGCTGTGCATACTTAAATCCTTGGTTCAAGTAGAATAATCTTCAAATTGCGTGATCTTTTTACACAGGCGACAGGCTCTTTTGTGATCTTTTTGCAGTAAAACGTCAAATTGTCAATCAATAAATTATCGTTGTACGATATTCGAGTGGAGACCTTATAAATCATTCGAAAGCTCTTGACTTTTCTCGCCTTCTGCTGCTACATTTGGTCACCATTCGCACTACAAGCGCTATTATGATGGCAATACTTATAATATGATTTCACAGGGAACAAAAAACAACGCTTATAAATTTCAAGCAAACGCGCTCCAATTTCGGGCTCCTCATTCCCGTGCCCTTTAGAAAATTGTCATAAAAAGTGATTCTGATTATTTGATATGGGGCACCATGACTCATTCCACGTTCCCATTTGGAAATGGTGGTTTCACTGTTTGCGTTGTGTGGGAGTAATCTATGTGAGCTGATTGCTGGGTGGCTGCTTTCAAATCGATAAGACTTTTCAAATCACTTCTACCATTTCTTCTTGATTAGATTGCTAAAGCACGTCACTACTCTGGCATTTTTAACAGGAATCGGGAGGAGTATCGCCCGGAGCAGGAGCTGATGTGGTAACTTGTGGACGCGAACAAGAAAAGTTGACTCCTGCAGCTCAGTCATGTCTGGAGAAGTTGGTAGGCGAAATAAAGGCCAACAACAGTTACATGGACTATAAAATTGGTGAGCAAACTTTTGGGGTTGCTTCCTTTTCAAAATCATATCTACAGCTGGTACAAAAAGTTTCTGTAATCCACAATCTGTCTGGGAAGTCACCTCAGTGGTGAAGCATTGTTTGGTTTCATCAGTTATCAATGTTACCCTCTCGCATAAGTTGGGGCACAATTGAGAGAAGTTGTGGCTCCAAAACTTAGACCTGCCGTTTATTGGATCGTTTGAAAATTCCTTGGTATTTCTCGTAGTATGGTTGAAAGGTTGACAGCATTGTTTCCAAAAAGAATCTGAAAAGAGCATCTTGTAAATTTTAAGTACAGCAGTTGCATTGGATGTACGTGTTACTTTAGATTATTCACTTTTCTTATAATGAAATTGTATAAAATTCATTGAGAAGCATACCTCTTCAGAAATGCAAAGAACTGGCTTGGGAAGCGGTGCTTTGATTCTTATTCCACTCTTATTCCAGACCCTTGTCATACCCAGTGCCACATACTGACGAGTCTCGAATAGATTTTTGAACACGGGTCTTTCAGGAATATACGTCACTACCCAGTATTTTATCACTAAATTTGAGGGTTGCTGAGAGCCCTTAGAAACCGGAGCAGATTGCTATGAGGTCTCCATTAGGTGAAAGTTAGCTCCTGGGGGAGAATCTACCATCTGCTCGTCCAGTGTGCTACTGTGATGCAAAAACGAAGCCTTACCCAGAACGAATCCTCTCCCTGAGATTCTTGATACAAACCTCTTCTGATCGTTCTCGAGACTGATCACTTCTAGTCACACTACGTGATCAAATTAGTGTGGTTATTTTGCTCGTAAATGGAACTATCGGGGAGAGGTGGATCA